GAGATGAGCAGAAAAAAGGAAGAGTGTGAAATATCACAAAAGCAAGTAAGCAAAATTAAGATAAAAAGAAAAAAAAATGAAGATACAGCAGCAATACCTCATCGAAAGCTTCGTTTCTTACAGGTTGTTCCGAAGAATCTCCACTCGTGTTCATTCCAGAATCAGCATTCTCGTCATTCTAAATGTAAATTATTTGCGAACTGTAATCACCCTCTGATATTGCTTACCTTATCAAAGCTAGATGACTCCATGAGGCTTTGCAGCCGACTTCGACGATTCCTAACTAACTCATCCAGTATGAGCTCCTGAACAGCTACGATGCATCATAAATTATGAGAAGTCAGTTTAGAACAACAATTGAAAATGATAAAAAACAACTTTAAATTTTTAAGTAGACAATAAGCGAGAACACGAACTCTGACCTGATCTTTCGGTGTTGGAACCACTGTTGCCTGAATGGGTGGCGGTAATTTATCTACTACGACGGGTCCCAGGTCACGCTCGCTCTCCTAAATAAGGCTCTACATGATAAGATCATATAAAATAAGGCATAGACAAAAAGCATGTCTCAAGGTCAACACGGCGATGATATGAGCAGCTTGACATACCTCCCTTTTCCTTCGCTTGGTTTTCGCCTTCACAATCGGTGCAGTGGGTGTCATGACCACAACCGCTTGAGCTGGTTCTACACGAAGATTCAGAGTGGACTAAAGGACGTTTAGGTGGATATTTGATAGAGGTCAACATTCAGAAAGGTGATAATCATATATAAATTTGCTCCCAAGTAGTGTATGAAATGATAAAAACACGAAAAAATTGAAGATGAGAAACTCACATAGAACGCAAACTGGACATTCACAAGGCTCACAATCATATCTGTCACTGCTTCAAGCATACCACCATTACTCATACAAGCATTTCGATGATAAAAGCGGGCGATTATTTTACTGCAAAAAGGTTCTGAAGCAAAACAAGTATAAAAATGAATGTACTTACCGGTTATTCCTAAAAGCGAGCATTTGGAAATGAAGCGTTCCCTTGTTGAATGCATCTTTGAGCCAAGCAATCGACAAGCGTCTGTTATCAATATCGCCCCATTCGGCTCGTAAGAGATTTTGCTGCGTCCTCGGCAAAAACTCTCTGACGAAACGCCAGTACACCTTATCACCGGATAGAAGCCTAAAATCACAGGAGTCTTGTACATGAAGTTGCTGGAAAACAACGAACAAAAATTTCGTAAGCATGATTATTGAAAAAATAACGTTTAAAAGAACAAACGGGAAGACATACAAGTGGACTTACCCGTAAGAAAAGAATGTATCCATGGAATTGAACAACATCTTCCCTGTCTCATGCTCCAAGTCAACAATTTCACGCTCATTGGAAAGCTGAATTATTCACTTAATAACTTCTACATATAAGTCAGCCAACGATGATTTGAAGGGTGAAAAAAAGTAGCCAAAGCTGAAAAAACCCATTGAAAGACTCACTTTCTCCACTAATTTGGATATTTTATTCTGAAAGGGACCATGTTGACTTCGGCTCGCCCGAACGTCTGGTTTTAGTGATATAGGGCTTAGTTGATACCTTAATGAGATTAATGAATATGGGGAAGTTTTCAACAATTCGAACTTACATCTATTAGTTCATGCCATTTACAATCGTGCAGATTTGTCGAGGATTGTCCTGAACTCTAGAAAGTCAGAAGCATAAAAACCATAGGTAGTGAAATACCAGCAACGAGGAGAAGGACAAAAATGCAGCAACGGCTGGCTGTTCAAAATCAAAATTAGCACAAAACGATGGAGTTACTTCGACCACACAGTTTCAGCCCCAGACC